ATCCCGTCTGTGGGACCGATGGCATAACTTACGACAACGAGTGCCTGCTCTGCAGAGAGATCTGGTAAGGATGAGACTTCAGGATTACCTAAAGGGGCAAGTCAAGCAGCAGGCAACACAAACCTTGAGTACTGTGACTAGTCACAGGGTGGCCTAGCAAATTTTCAGATATTTCTGTCTTCCCTAGAGATTCTCCATTGACAAAACTCCTGATTTTTTTTAATCACTGTGGCTTCACAATTGGAGAGACTTAATGAGTGAGATGAGTAAATGCTATCATCAGATTTATGCTTACTTTCCTTCTCTTACTTTCCTTCTCTTTTTCCCTCTAGGCGCTATAAAGCAGTTGAAAAAAAACATGATGGAAAATGCGTTCAGGTATAGTGCAAGATCTATTCCACTCCTTGTGCTGTGCTTAGCAGTAATGTTAAATGATGTCACCTAGCTAGGCTGAAATACCTTTTTCTTCTTCATTAAAAATACAATTTCAAAACTGTCTGAAAAAGAATCAGAGTGAAAAATTTAGAATATTTTGCTTGTTCAAAAAATATTAAAGTAAATTCTTCTTTCAACTATGAGTTTTAAAATGTTAAACACATGTATAACACGACTCAGAATTTGAAACTTTTAATTTCAATGGTATTTCAGCATTACCCAAACACTTCCCTTTAAGCTTAGAAAAAAATATTGAAAAGCAGAAATTCCCAAAGGAAATTTGGATTTTGACTAAACCATTATTTTGTTATGGAAAAAAAAAAATCTATGAGAACATTTATTATAAGGCTTGTTTATCAATATGTAGAGCTACCATRGAGTGGAGAGGTATCTATTTTTAGAATAGAGAGATTATGTAAAGAAGCACTCTGGGCTGTGCAATTTAACATAATACTACAATTTTCATCTCGGTACTCTCACAGTGAGTAATGTTTGGAAAAATACTTAGGCAAATGTCAGCTACATTTTCAGAAGTTATGGAGACATTTCACAGCAAAAGCTCCTGCCCCATTACCAGGGTATAAACTGGCATTTTGGGCAAAGATCCTGCACAGTAGAGTTCATGGTGAAAACTCCAAGCTGACAACAACTGAGCCAATTTCAGGAGACGAAAAAAAGAGATTCCAGGATTGTGTTGTCTTAAGAGGCAGAATTTTGGCTAATCATGCTGCTCGAGCTATAATGCACTACGGCTGGAAACTGGTGTCTCCACAGAGCTCCATACGTTTACTGCTGCCTTGAGGAGAAAGGGAAGTCTCTCTTGTGCCACGCTCCGTTACACAGGGCTAATGGAATGGAGTGCAGAGATTAAAGCTACTGTTCTGTGACTGTTTCAGTTCAACTGCGCTGGCTACCTGAGAGCAACCAGCGGGGCTGCCAGARTCTGCACCAACGAGTACAACCCAATCTGTGCCACCAACGGGGTCACCTATCCCAACCAGTGTTTCTTCTGCACCGCAGTGGCGTAAGTGAAGGGGTCAGGTCACTGGAGTGGGTTTTGGACTAGGAGAAGCTTGGGCTGATGTTGGTACTRTAATGAAATGGTTTAATTTCTGAAATGGATGCCCTGTACTCATTCATTCTCAATTTACTTTCTTCCTGAAGGAATGGAGTTGACATAGACCTAATAGGAACTGGAGAATGTGTAACGGTAAAGTTCGGAAATCTGCACTATTATCTGTTGTTGAAATACATTTTACAGCATAAATTAAATGAATCATAACTGTGTAATAGGAACACTTGCATTGTCCTGATACTAAACTCATGGAATATGGCCTGGAAATAGGATATGAGGCAAATAGGAAAAGTGTGCCAGGGTTAAAGGATATGGAAGCAAACCCATAGCTCAGATACCAAGTCCCTATGTGCAGGACTCCTGACCCGGGAACACAGCATTGGGCTGTTACTGAGATTTCATTCAGTGGGAAAAGTGGCTTAGCAGGAGATTTCGTCTCATCCTTCATGCAGAAGACCAGGAGGATCATTTATTACTGGAAATACTTATAGAGAGCAGCTATGATTCTTCTGGTGGGAAGTACTTTCTGGTGCATGGCTTACAACAATCCACTTTCTGTAAACTTGTCTTTTCTAGACTGCACAACCAGAGTAAAGCAGCCAGTGAGAGAGCCAGCCTGCAAACACTGACAGAGCCATTTCACTATTTATGATAGTATTTCTGAGATGTTTTTTCCTCCCATCTTCTGCTCTGCTGGAAATCTGATTTCAAGCTCCCCCTGGCAAAAACATTCTCTGCCTATGAGTTTGGAGAGCTGCTAGAACAGATCCCTGGCCTTAAATAGTGGTTTTAGTCTTTACCATATCACAAACATTAAATAAATATAAAGCACTCATGTAGGGAAATACTGTGGTACACGAGGTTAAGCGTGTTGTTGCTCTATTACCTGCAGATTGACTGCAAAAGCTACCTCCGTGTGAAAGGCACCTGCACCTTGGATGATGAGCCAGTTTGCAGCTCTGATGGCAAACTATACAAGAACAAATGCCAGTTGTGTTCTGCACTTCAGTAAGTATGGGCTTCACCAGATAGTCTTAAAACCATTGCTGCATTAGAAGAGCAGAAATACACAGGAGCAGCAGCTGTTAATGGAAAGTCCAAAGCTCCATTTGAGCCCCATAAATAAATCCTGCTGCATGCTCTTGTCCGAACACTCACTCTTCTGTGACTCCATAGGCACTATAGATCTTTAATCTAAGTGATTTTTATTTCTRTTCTGCTTCCCTTACAATTGAAGTCAGATTCCCTTTTGCAGTCTTGCGGTCTCCCTTCCTGCAGGAGTAATTTAAGCTCTACCTATAGGAGGAGGTGTCCAAGTTGACTGAGTTTGTCAGAATCTCTTTCACATAACCCAGGGAACCAGGAAAGAGATCAAATATTAAGTGGGCTGCTCTGTGACTTGAACAGCGTGGGGACATCCCCTTATTTTGGGAAACAGCAACTGCACCACCAGGGCTACCAAGCAAATTGTGTGTAATTTTGCTCTCACGCTTTCTCTTCAGATTGGTTGAGAAGCCTATTTTCCTCAAACAACTTGAGGAGTGCAGAGGAATGGTACCATAGTCTTCACACTCATTTCCCTTTGCAATATCTACAATCAAGCCTGCTCTCCAATGCTCCAGAAGACTGCTGTGTGTTGGTCTCTGCTTTGTCTGATCAATAAATTAAATTCAGCTGCTCTCTTTGCCATGGACAGGTTCTTCTTTTCAGAGTGGGAGTAATTTTCTCTAGGGTTTTAAGAGCTTATCTGTCAGGCAGGAGTAGTTGTGAAATAAACCACAATAAAGACCAAAGTGTAACGCCCATCACACAACAGTCTGAGCCCTGACAGGAATATGTCCCTCCACACCAAACTACTAAGTTTGGTACCAACGGAAAACAAACTTCTAAGTTTTGAGCTTTCCTCATTTTTGTAGGGTATAAATATATGCTGGCGTGTCTTGTCCTAAATGCACAAGATCCAGCTTTATAGTTGACCAACACTGAGTCTAAAAGGAACCAAACCTTTCAGAAGCCTTGGTGGCTCCTGAAACAAGGTAAAAGAGCCTTGGAGAAATGTGAAATGACCATCATGAGCCACACAGGGGCAAGGGACAGGTTTAGCAGCGTGTTACAAAAARGAGATTTATGGCAAAGGGAATAAACTAGCTCCTAAGGAAGAAAATAAGGAACTTCGGCTTCTTTGAAGGGTGTGTTCCCTAGAGACTCATCTATGTTGATCACAGAAAATTGGAGCAAGCTGGGCCCTGATGTAATGAGCCTTAATGAAGACCAGAGGAGAAATTAGACCAGACTCAGACTTTCAGCTTTTTGTAGGAAAGATCTTAAAYGTTTGTTCTGGAGTGTTTGAATCACAGGTAGGGCAGGGGAACTCAGGAAAAAGTCTTGGGTTTTCCAATCCTAGGGGAAAAAAAGGCCAGRAAATGTGCTGGTAGCTCCAAGATAGTTTCCATCTTGGAAAGCTAATATAAGGAGATAGTATCTTGGTGGGAGCATAAGGAGTGAGATGGATGCGCAATGATAAATGTGAATGTTGATGACAATGTGCTGACTTTTGGTGTGAGTCAGGTAATGMGCATGCAAACAAGAGAGGTGAAAAATCCCGGGTGACACAGCGCCCATACTCCCTTCCTCTTCTTTTCTCCACCTCTAATTCTCCTGTTACGTTGCAAAGCAGTCGGTTGTTAAGGCTCATACCTTGGGGTGAAATTTGAGACTTCCCAGCTTTCTCTCGTTTCCTGGGATAGACCATTTCTTGGCCTAGCAATTCTTCCCACCTGAACAGATATTGTAAAAAATGCAGCTGAACACAAACTTTGCAAAGTATCACCTGGAAATAGAGCTTAGGTCTCATGATTCTCCATCAGATTCCCTCAGTTGCCACTTACTGTGGGAGTGGATCTCCAATGTGTCTGTGAATGCGAAGAACTAGAAAACACTGACAGCTACAGTATAAATAGTTCAAGGAGGAGAGTCAGGAGTGCTGTCCGGGACTCCTTACACAGCCATGAGAATATGTCACATCAATGTGTTCCTCCACCCAAACCCAACAAATTTAGAACCATCTTCAAAAATAGATAGGGAACAACGTATAATTGGTTTCACAGACAACACATTCTCACGCCGTGATTTATTTCATAATGTCTAGTAAGTGTCATCACGCCACACTCAAAACCTCCAAGCTGGTATTCAGCAAGGGCCCAGAGAATGAAAATTACCAGCTTCCCTGATGAATCACTGCTTTGAAAATTCACCCGTATGAGAATCTTGTGATTATTTAGAAAAAAAAATTATTACACACCTGAGTCTATCACTCATATAATTAGCCCTTCTTTCTAGGTTTGATGTGGACAGGACAGCATTCCTAAAGCACCATAAACATGGACAGGACCAATAATGACTTCAGAAACGAAGTGGAGAAGTTCTCACAATTAAGGTGGGGAATGAGGACAGCTACTCATGGGCACATAAATACACAGAGAGGCGGGTCTGTGAGCGCATTGCTGGGACACCACCTCCAGAATAGACCACTTGATTTGGACTAAAGAGCTACTCGCAGCATGAAGACAGTAGGTGTCTTAGTGCTTCTCAGCTTCCTGCTACTGTCTTTCTTCTCCGGTAAGTTGTCTTTTCTGTACCGTAGAAAGAAACTGTCCTGACATCAGTAGACTTCAGACAGCCTTGAGCTCTGGATGACAGGTTTGAAGATAAAGCTGAGCAAGTGGAAAATATCTGGGTTTTTTTTTTTTTTTTTGCTCATTTGGACAACATGTTTCCACCCCTTGTGCTCTTCCACGGTGACTAACACAGAGAAGGTGTCACCGGGAGAGAAAAGGATCAAATTCTAAGTGGTTGCTTCAAAAAATACAGCAAAGCAGAATGTAACTGTTAATTTTGGTGTGTTTGCTAGCTGGAGAGATTTGCTGAATCGGTTAAAGGAGAAACTAGCACCTAAAGGTCGTCAGTTCTTATTTTGATTGTAAGCATCTTGGAATTTGGTGTTTTCATTAAAGATGTGGAAACATGTAATTAGATGAAAGTTTCAGCTTTTGTTTATGTTGCAGAGAAAAGCTTGAAAAATTAATTCAAATGTTCTCATGGACAAAGAGGGCAAATTTAAATGATCCAGCATTAATTTATCTTGAGATTTTCACATCTCTTTGACAATTTGGGGAAGCTGATTGATGATTTTTGAACATATAGGTCACATCAGTGCTATCAATTGCATATGTCCAGCTGACCCAGCTCCAGAAGGTTTGTGGCAACAGTTATTGAACAATATGAAGACCAAGAAATATTTATGCTTGTTTTTCTGTGAATAATTTGAATAAAGAATTCACTTGAGAAAATGGCAAGCTGTGCATGGAGAGAAGAGGTGAATTACTTTGTACATATTATTCATTATGAAATATTCATCTGTCTCTAATTGAGTCTTAATTGGGCCTGAGTTCCATCAGAGTGCTGATGYCTCCTTACAAAGCCAGGGACAATGTTCTGTAATCTCATATAAAATAAATATATATTAAGAGATGCTATTATAAACCCTTGTGTAGTTGCATGTAATATTCATTAAAAAAAATCTAATGAGGTATTTTGTAAATAATATGCAGAGAGCCATAACAGTGACTACAATTAATGCCACCTGGCCTGACCAGAGGATGGGATAAATACACCAGTGGCGGGGATAAAACTTGGGAATACATTAGAATCGGTGGAAGAGTGGTGGGTTGATGGGTAGTGGTCTAGATGATTGGATGCCGGGTGGGATTTCCATCCTAGCAAGGGGAGCCAGGTGTAGTACAAAGGCTTCTCACCTTCTGCCCCAGGTTCCCTTCTGCTCAGACCCACCTGCTGAGATCCTGGCAGTGACCCTGCTTCTCTGAGCAAGTACAGCAGCAGCTTCTGGCACTCAGCACGCTGTTGTAATCCTCCCCAGCTAGATATGCAACCTCTCATCCTGCTGCCTCACTGCCATGTGAGAAGCTGGGGACTTGGCTGTCCCACATACAGAGAGTATGGATGGCCCACATCCTCCAGATCTGCATTCAGTCCCCCCTCAGATGTCAGAATCCCCCTTAAAAACATCTCAAGGTCACCCTGTCCTGCAGGTATGACTCAATCTATGCGTCTGACTGCAGGCTTTGCAGTGAAGAAATATAAAAAGGCTATGACTGATTATCTTCAAGCTGAGACCCTGTGGTTGCAGTGAGTGTTTTTCTCCCTTGCACTGCCTGTTCTGCTCTGTATCACAGCCTGACATCTCCTTGTATCTCACCCTGGATGAAGTTCTCTGGGAAAGTCTCGGAGCCATGCCATGCTTATGATGTCTATAACCCTGACCACAGGGCCCTTCCTAYAGCTCCACAGCACACTCCTGATAATAATACCAGCCATTCTCACTCTTTAGAGGTGCAGGAGACCCAAAGCCCCGTAAGTGAATATAAAGAATTAAAATCTTTGTTGAGTGCAGCTCCAGGTCTGATATGGCAGATTGCTTCCGTTGGCATGGCTGCCTTCCAAGAAGATTGGTTTAGGTATCTAAGGTGTAGTTAGCAGCTGAATGACTGGTTCTGTGTTATTTTAATAGCATTTCTCAAAAGCAAAATACTGAAAAGCAATTCAGATAATGTATTTCCTGCCCCCTCCTCCACTGCACAGGATGACAGACTAGGGGAAGCTTAGGGTATGTGTCACTGTGTTTTGGAAAAAGATTGGTGATTTTAGCACAGCTTCTCTCAGAAAATAACACACAAAAATCTCTGTTTTTTATTCCAGATGCAGCAGGTCAAGATATTGAAGAGGTTAGTGCAGTTGTTTCCGCTTACAGAATCTGCATTTCCTCCTGATCCTAGGAGAACAGTTTTGTAAACCAGATCTTGGTGCATGGTAAACAATTTTCAATGCCTGGTGGGACCAGGTGAATTCCTCCAGGTTGCTCCAAGCTTTTCGGGATATTTGCCATTGTATGGGCRATGTGATCTGTGACTACGCTAGCAAAAGCAGACCAGGAAAACAGGCAACTGGTTTAGCAAAGGCCTCCCAGGATGAGGTGCAGAGTGTTTGCACAGCATTGCACTCATATGCRTAGCCTTGCAACACTGCTTTGGCCACTTTGCTCCACTATCTAATCTCCTCAAGAAACAAATGGGATACTAAGAATATTTTATTCCCCGCCACAAACCAGGTTCATTATTATGAGCTTGTCCGGAGACAAAATAGCTACCCATTTCACGGATGCCATTTTTAATCTCCCAAAGACTATATTTTTTTCTCTTTCTACGGGGAAAGCAGACAGCTCAGCAGCCATACGACGAGTGCTCTGTTTCACAACGTGCACGATGCCAGTTAGCAGGGAGCTAACTTCGGGCCAAGTGCCTGGGAGAGCACCGGTGCTGACTCTTCCCCTTGCATGCCCGGGCTAATCCCCTTTGGTCTCCAGAAGACGAGCCTTTCTCTTCAATAACCAGTTTTCCTCCTTAGACTGAGGGCTGAAATTCTCAGGAAAAGCCACTGCTGTTCATTTCTGACAGGCCTTTTTCTTTCAGAAAATAGGCAGTGTCACCACTGCTGCTTTAAGTCCTCTTGACAGAAGGAGGATAATATTAGCCACCTTGTTTCCCAACAGGGATGTGAAACAAAGAATGCGTGACTTCTAAAGTTCTTTTTTGCTCCTGTAGATTTGCAAAGAGTTTACAAACAGAAGCATGTACTGCACGAGGGAGTCCAACCCTCACTGCGGCACGGATGGGGTCACGTACGGAAATCGCTGTGCCTTCTGCAAGGCAGTTCTGTAAGTGAAAGAAGGGGGAACTGAAAGGAAAGATGTTGGCCTAAGTTTCATGTACACAGTGATGTTCTCCAGGGAGAGGAGGCTGGGCACCCAGGCAGCTCCTCTTGTATAGACTGGCCCTTGATTGCTGCCAAATATAGTATTTCCTTTTTGGAACAGAGTTGCATGAATGTAAGTTAAAATTAACTCACTTCTAGGCTTGTTACRAGTCTGGTTGCCATGCAGAGAGAGAGCATAGGGCCTGGGAGCCAATTGCATTCTGTCTATGCTCTCCGTGGAGTATAGATCCACAGCATATTCCACTGTATTCCACTGTTTGCAGCCAGGGTGAAACTCCTGCTATCCAGACCTCAAGGTAGTGAGAAGTGTCTGGAGGAAAGCAGGAGCTGAACGATGCTAAACTGCTGCTCAAAACTCTAACTGTGTTTTGTGGGACAAGACACAGCCTCAGAGGAAGAACCAGAGTTTACCTTTTCCTGGTGCTCTGTTTTCCCATCATTTTCTTTAAGGGAGATGTAATTGGAGCCRGTACTTCTGGAGCAAATGTGCTTGCAAAACATCGATTTCTTCTTAGCAATCATACATATTTTGGTGGCTGCTGAAGATTGCCACCTCGCAGGGAAAATTTGAGACAAGAAAGGGGAGGGAGAAAGCAGCTTGGTATTCCTTGTGAGGCTTCAGGTTTTGCTAGCATCAGTCAGGCAAATAGTCCTCTTCCAGCAGATGAGTTCCTTATTCCCCACTGCTATTACTGTGTTGTCTGTCATATACTACTCTGCCTGAGTCTGTCTTGCTCCTTTTATAGGAGAAGTGGAGGAAAAATCAGATTGAAACATCTGGGGAAATGCTGAGTCCTCCCTGTCACTGAGCACTGAAAGCAGATCAACCTTCAGCGACGGTTGTAGACGCCTCAAGCGCAGATGTGTGAGCAGCTTGCCCTCCTCTCTGGCGTCTCTGCTCAATAAAACAGAACTCGGCACAACTCTTTGGTTGGTTTCCTTTTTCTGCAACACCCAGAAAAGCTTTCCGAAACAGCTTCTCCAGAACCTAACGTGTAGGTTTGCTTTGCTGCTTTATCGCAACACCTTCTCCGCGGAAGGCAAGGCGCTCCCCTTGCAACAACACGACGATTGCGATGGTTTCCCGTGGAGCTGCGTCCTCTCTTACATGGTAGCCCTAGCTCTTCCACCCAGTCCCACCGGATGCATTGGCACGTGCCCTTCCCATTCCACAGCATGGTGACCAGTGTGCATCCTTATCGCTCACCCAGCCTCCTGATCCACGTCTCTCCCGGAGATGCTGTGGGAGGCTGACGGGACGGCTAGTGAACAGTGTGACTCCATATGTCTCATCTGCTTTGGAAATCTGAAGGCTAGGAAATATTGCTCCATGTAAGCCTGCAACAAGAAGGTGGCAGGTTGAGGCTGGCTCAAGACAGGAGCAGGGAGGCTTTTCTTTCCAACGCGGCTCTTTTCTTCTTTGGTCTGAGGAAATGCTTTGTCTTAAAAACTGTGACTCTCAGCAGCTTTAGTTTCCTGTTGCAAAGTGGCTTCTTAYGCTAATAAATAATATTTAGAAGAGCACCAGATTGTACAAAGTGTCAATAATTTAAAAAAAAAGCTCCTGCAGGAGAAGAGTTGTGGGCTTCCTCTCCCTTTCTCTAGGATAAATACCCCCTAAATCACCTACAGACCTTGATTTTCCAGGAACAAGTGTTTTAATTTATTTACAACTTTAATGCCCATAGACTTTACTCCTTTCTTTACTTTCCACAGTACTTTCCCTCTCTGTTCTTGGTGCTGGTTGGAAAATCCTTCTTTGTATGAACACGAGAAAATAAACTCCAGARCTTCTGCCCATTCACTGTGCAAAATTCGCACAGGGAAATCCTTGCGGCATCTCCTTGTTAAAGCATTGGCAGCAGATCAATGGGCAACTAGTTTCTTAACATTAAACACTTAACTTTCAAAGGGAGCTTTAGATATTATCATGAGCCTCAGGGGTCAACATATTTTGCAAGCATCTAAATGCTGAGCATCTAAACCTCTGGACCTCATTTGGCCAGAGCTTGAGCACTTGAGCACACCACAGCAATTACTTTGGACTAAATTGAGGCATGATGTCTAAGCAGAGTCCTCAGCAGTGCGCTCAGCACACCCAGGGCTGGCATCTTTTAGAATAACTCGCATTTGCAGTGGCAATTCTGGCGAACGCTTTGTCACTCTGCGAACGTCCCAGGCAGCACTCGAGAGGCAGCCAGCCAGCAAGTCAAACTGCACAGGCTGCTACCAAAGTTCAGTCACATCAGCTGTGTTTAAACCTTGGGTCATGATTTACTGGATTCTTGCAAAATCCACCACCTCTYCTAGGAAGAACAGAGCACCGCTTCGTGTCCCGCGCTGAACACCCAGGGAAGGCATTCTCGTTTGCTTTCCAATCTAGATAGCACATTAGTAAACACAACATCAAGACATCCAGAGCACATGTAAGATTAAGGGGAGCAGGAAATGGCTCCTGCAGGAGAATAGTCCAGAAGCACCAGGAGTCTAGTCCTGAAGTCCTGAAGGACTGGGACGGTGGCAGGACCTCCCTCATCATTCCTCCTGCTCTGAGGAGCTTGGGCTGCAAGACTTCCTGGTGTCCTCTCCAGCCTCAGTTATGCTGTGATGATCTCCCTACGTGGAGAGGCTCTGGAGCAGTGCTGTTTTCAGAGCATAGGAGCAAAAGCCACTTGCTTTTAAGATGGAAACTGACATTTTAAGGGAGGATGATAAAATACTACACCAAAGATAGCCCAGAATAGCCCTCAGTGATGCCAAAAAATTTCACAGCATATGCCAACATTTAAGCTTTTTAATTTGGAGGATGCAATAATCTGGATGGATCACAAGAGCACATAAATGATGAGTCTTCGCCATTTAACAACCTTTCTGTATTTTGCTATTTCAGTGCAAATAGCAAACAAAAACACCTCTGCACCTCTACAGACTCAATGATCATCTACACCATCTGTGCTGGAATAGTGGGGAAAGCAAGAGAGAAGCTGTGGAACCGAATTTCCCTACAACATAACTGGAAAGGGAAAACACACACTACCTCTCTCTTGTTTTTCTGGTTCCCGTGTGTTGGCCTTGGGGACCTGTTATCCAGCAGAGCTGGCCCAGAGATGATACCTGGTCCAGACCAGTTCCTGGCCACCCCCCAAAGGAAGCATTTGGTGTGCCACCCCTCGGACACCAGGTACCCATGTGGTGACATCCATCAAACCGTTGAGGAAGCAGCTTTATTGGCCATCCTGCCCTCAGCCACAGCACTGGTCTTGCTTGTTGGTCCTCTTGGTCATGGAGGGTGATGGGCTCACTTGACCCCATCTTGTCTTCTGAGCACAGGAACCTATGGCAGGAAGTAAAGGCAGAACAYATTTTAATATTTGACCCCCTAATAGTTCTAATTGCAGAACACTGTTGCACATGRAAATGTAAAGGGAAAACAATACAAGCCAACTCTTCCTGACGATATGATCTGTATGGTTTTGGAATAAGTTTCAAAGGGAAGGGAGGGCTTTCACAACACATGCTGCCTTGGCCAAAGGGGACCTGGTGTAAATGCTGTGTTTGTGCACATGGCCCTGCTGCTCTGATTCTGCAAGGAGGGTTGACATGGTCATGTAAGAGGGGTGGAGAAAATAAAGGATTGCACTGTCCTGACTAAAGGAAATTTCATGGGAATTGCACTTAACCCTAGGTCCAAGAGATCATTAGATTTTCCCTGGGTGGCTATCTGGCTGTAGGCTTTCCTGTAGGCTATAGGCTGTATCTGGCTTTCCAAGATCTGATTCCTTCAGGCTTAGTAAATGTGACCTCCAGCTTGCTACCAGCATGGAGCATGTGCCATATGTTCCTACCCTATGGCTTTGCTCTAGTGGAAATCCAGCACTTCTTGGAAAGCGTGTGAGTCACTAGAACCAGGTGGCTGTCATCAGTCCACAGACTTGTCTACCCCAGCCCTCTCCACAATCCTGTATTGCGTGGGAGATGACAGCCCTCACTTCTGTCCTCTGAAACCAGGTGCCAGGGGAGCTTCTTGGAATACGATTTCCCATCGTGGGGAAACTTTCCAAAGCTGATAAAAACTCTTTTTTTCTTCCCCCAAGAGCAGGCCAAGGGAGGAAGTGGTGCATCAGAGGAACACCTTCTGTCATCATCCATCCTTCCAGTCGAGGAGGCAGGGAGYGTGCACTTCCCAATCAGTTAACTGAGATGACAGTGAGGTTTGCCTCTACCCTGTTGCTCTTGGTTTCAGAGCACGGTGTTCACTTTCCCAGCAAGACTGATGAACACCAGTGACAAAACTGGGCTGCAACAGTGGTCACAGGATGTCCAAACTGAAATCAGAGCTGTGACTAGCTGTCTTCCTGGGTTTAAGCATACCAAAGCCTAGAAATCAATCACTCCGGTATTTTTTCTTTCATTCTTTCCTTGGATTTTAAGTTGTGTTGTTTTGTCTTTACAGCTTTGAAAGGTGAGCCAATAAAACACTTAAGATCTCTTTTCTATAGATAACATTAAGGTCTTCACCTCCTTTCCTTCTCCTAGGGAAGGACCTCATCCGCAGTGCAGAGGCCGGAGCAGGGGCTGCCCCAGCGGCTGGAGCATCCACAGTTGGTCCGGTCCCCCGCGCTGGAGCCACTGCACAGGCTCCGAGCTGCTCCCTGCAGCAGCACGAGGGCCCCTGTCCCTGTGTCTGACTCCATTCGTGCCTTCACTTAAAATAATGGAAGAATTACATTTGTGTATGGTTGCTCTTATTGAAAGAAACGTTGCTCACAGCTGAGCACCCTCCCGTGACCAGCCTATGCACAGAGCAGAAGGGAAAACGAGATTTCCATCTCGCAGCTTCACTCTGCTGCTCACGCAGCCGGTACAGCATTGTGGCCAGGCTCTTGGCCCATCTAACASGTGTGTCCTCCACTCCCTCCTCCTGCCCCTGCACGGGCACGTGTGTCTGTTGCAATGCAGTCGAACACTTTGTCCTACTTTCCCCGTGACCGTCACAGTGTTTGACAAAGCTTCCCTCGCTGCTACAGGGCCATCACAGGGTGTCAGGGCTGATTGCAGGGTTCCCATAACAGGGCTGGGGAGAAGCCCTAGATTTCATTGCCATTAATGTTCACCCATTTTTCCCTAGGAGTAGCTAACCTGGATCAGAGGATAATTCAGGTCTGAGGGGACCTCAGAAGGTCTCCAGGTCAAACTCCTGCTCAACTCTGAGGTCTGAGCAGATTTCTCAGGGCTTTATCCATTCTCGTCTTGAAAGCCTCCAAGAATGCAGACACAGAGCCTCTGGGGACAACCTGTCCCAGAACTTGACCGGTACCACAGTGAAATGGTCCCTTATTTCTAGTCTGAACTCCTCCTGTTTTGAGTAATAKCCACTCTCTCTTGTCCTCCAACCATGAACACCCATGAAGAGCCTTGCTCCATCTGCTCAATAACCTGCTTGCAGCTGTATTAGGTCCCCCTTAAGCTGTGTCTTCATCAGGTTGAACACGCTTAAGCCCCTTGGCCTCTCCTCAAAGGAAAATTTCTCCATTCCTAACCATCTCGGCAGCTCTCCACTAAGCCTATTGGAAGCTGTCAACGTTTTTCCTGTGCTAGAGCCCCAAAACTGGATATGAGAGGTAAGGCTGGACTAGGCCAAAGGAAAAGGGTATATGTGGAAGAAGCACTGGAGTATTGCAGGACATGGAAAAAGATGTGGATAGTGACAGTTGCGGGGAGCAGCAGGAAGATTTTTTAAGGACTAGAGAGAGCAGCTGAGCCTCCTCTGGGATGAAATGTCCCACAGATGC